GTGCGACAAAAAAGAAAGCACTTCAATTTCGCTCTGGAAATAACAAAGAGCGCTGAGAAATCTGCTCTGTATTATTTTGGAGTTACATAAATTTTCGACTCTCACAGCTCACAGCGTGAATGTAAAGGAGATTTATCGCTGCAGCCCTTTGCGGATTCACAAATGATGCAGTGCTAATTAAATTTCGAATTCCGGATTCGGTTGCCAAGTATTTTTTGCCGATTTGGCATTCGATTGTTTCTTGGATCTATACAGCAAGAAGTGGGTCGCACATTAATTGGGGAATTATTTCTCGCGAGCAGACGGCCCCTGGAGAAATCACGAGTTATGCTACTTGCCGCGAGTTTGTGCTACGCCGGTTGCATAACTCTGACAAATTGCGTGTCTGGGGAGTTCGCAGCGAAATTATTTTCAAATGTCAAATTCGAACGAGAGTGCCGATTTCATCCATCATTGGGCGCACCCAAGAGAAAATGGGATGTGAAAAAGAATCAATTTTGAACGGTTTGATTGGAGATAAATTTGCAGAAAATATTGATTTTCTCTCTAACTAATTTAAAAAAGTTCATTAAAATTTATAAGAACTTAAAATAAAATATATGTAAAGAGAATTTCAATTTATTTTCTGTAAATAGATTTTTTAAAACGAATTAAAGCTGAAAAATCACATTTGATCTTCACAAAATAAATTTTAAAATAATTCACGGTGATTTTCTGATAAATTTTTTGCAAAACCGTTTTCTGACAAGTGGCGACCCAAATTTTGTGCTAACGACAGCAACCTTGCGACCCGCCATTCAAATTTAATGATGAAATAATAGTGAAAAAAATCTGGTTGTTGCGAGGCTGGAAATTTACAAAGAAGAAGAAGAAGCTCAAAAGGCATTGTTCGAGGATCTAACAAGATGAAAGGCGCCTCATTTAGTGTGAAAAAAGAAGGTTCCTGATCGCTTTTCTCGCCTCTGCATTAACAAAGTTCCTCTTCAAAGAGTGCAAAAAACGAGAGTGTGATGCAAAATAACAAAACCACTTGGAAACTGCACAGGTCGGCCGGATTATCGCCACAATGCAAAGCCTTCTTCGCGCTAATGAAGTGTTGCGCCTTTTTGTACTACCCGTGCATTACCAGCAGCCAGGCCACAACAACACACACGAGGAGATAACCGACCCGGGATCGATGCCGAGACGAGAACGGCTCAATGGCCCTCTCTTATTTTCCCCTCAGGCTCTTCTGATCGAATAATTAGCGAGCTCTTATTCTGTTGATGTCGCTACGCATCAGGAGGGGCTCCTCTGATCTGCTAAGTGCCCGCAGAAACAAAAGATCAACACGTGTGAACAAATGTTTTTATTATTTATTTGGTTTTTCCAATTCAATTATTTTCTTCCAAATTTCAGGACTATTCAATGATTTTCTCGCAATATACAGAGCAACTTTGGGTCTGGCAATCATAAATAGACCTGAATTAAAGCGCGGAAAAAGTGCGGAAAAGTGATTGCAATTGAGTGTAAGAGTATCAATGAGTGAGAAAGAAACGGCAAGATTACGATAGAAATTTAAAGGACTGGCAAAAAATTATATAATCTAAAATGATAACTGCACAGCGCAATTTTACCCGAATAAAATCGTGAAAAATCTGAGCGTAACTGGCACAAAATAGTCGTGATTTCGGTCTTACATTTCAGACTTCTATTCTTTCCAATTTGTAAATTGTAATTTTACTAATTTGCTGCAAAATCATTTCAGGCGTAACTAACATACTTTTGCTTTTGGGTCTCACAACTGCAGTGTTGTTCTCCGTGCTTGCCCCATATATCCACAACGCGTTCACCTAGGAAACGGACTGTCCACATATTAAATAATAAATAGTACAAAGTAGTGCTGGTCAAAAGGAGCAAGCTCTGCAGAGAGAGAGAAAAGTTGTTCGTTTGCTCACGCAAGCGTCGATGCATCTCGGAGTGGACGCGACTTGCCGTAACTTTTTCTCTCTGGCAAGCATAGGTGCCACTTTTGGATGTAGAAAATCAATTTCTCAATTAAGAATGAAATAATACAATACATATTTTTCAGTACATTTTGAATACAATTAAAAAAATATATATATTTTCTGTCCCCCATGATAAGTGATAAAATAAAAATTTCAATTATTATTTCATCAACTTCTAAATATTCATTTAATTTTATTTTATACGAGGAAAGAAGCACTACAAAAATTACATTTAAATTTTGAATCATCTGTGAATATTTTGGAATTTTTAAATTTTTTGGCACATACACAGGTCGCCTTGCTTTTGTTTTTCACCCTCGTATACCCTATCTCATGTTTATTCACGTTTATGTGTTGAATAAGGGGCTTGGCGACAACAAGGGGTTGTAGTTTTTGGTCCATGCGATTTAGATCTGGGGCAGACCGAGATTGCAGACGGCAGGTCCTTATCGCGAGACCGCTGTTTTTTCCAACGGCTGCATCGAATCTGCATAAGAAAGAGGAATCTTGCTTGGAAATATGCAACCAGGACGGCAGTTTTTTTAAAGGGGCCTCCAATTTGTTCTGATGCATTTTTTTTTATAATATCTCGCATGTGTGCTTTAGGAGATTGATCAATATGGAAAGGGACGTTTTGCCTCTCGCTAATGGCGCATAATTAGAGAATGGAAAATTTTTTACAAAAAGGGTTTAAATGCCGCGAGGTGAAAGCGTGGGTCGCAAGCGAGCCGGCGCTGAATCGATTTTCTGCGCCACGCATTTCTCTCTTGGTGACAGTGTGTGTGTTTATATGTTTGTTTGGCGATAATGGGTGGATTTAAGCAGTGGGAAGATGCAGATTAAATGGGATCGATGATTTAATTATGAAGACCAAACGGTGTCATTTGCATCGGGTATGTTATTTATCTCTCGCCGGTAAATAAATGAAAACGTGCGTGGCTTTCAGGCAGATTAAGCAAAATGCGAGTTATCAATTTCGCTAATTGATAGATAAATCTGTTATTGACATTTTGTGCGGAGGATAAATCGAGATAAAAAGCTGTTAGCATTATTTATTAAAAATTTGAATACACCAATCCCCGGCTGCCATTTAGTTACAAATCAACAGCATACTTTTCATTTTATTTTAATTTAAATTGATCAAGTTTTAATCTATTCAATGACCTTATTATGTTCAATGATTAATTCATTATGCAGGCAGTATTTTTAGCACTAATTTGTGCTTTATAATAAATTTATGATCTTTGAAGGAATCAAAATCAAAAACTAAAATGACACAAGAATTTATAACTTTATGATTTATAAATCAATAATATTAAACACACAAAATAAACTAGCATCATTGATAAAGTTTAAAATATTTGTATTCAAATAATTTATTTAGGACAGTTATTTGAGTAATGTTTTACAAAATCGTTTCTCATAATGATTGAAGCTGAAATTTTCATTAATATCAATTGAGCACATTTATGAGGAATGAATTAATTTGAAGATTGTCCATAGGTCCAAATAATTTTTAAAGTTTTAAGATTAATCGAAGCTACAATTTAATGTTCAAACAGAAATGGTTGTATTTAATGGATTTACAGTCTTCCAAATTGCAATAACGAATCGTCCCAATTAAAAAATCAGAAAAGTTTCAAAACACTCGAAAGGGCAGCACACACACACCGCGCATAAATTATTTCTGTTTCTGCGTGCATGTTAAACAGGGGTCTGCGTATATATTCACAGATTCCCTTTGTGTGTTCTCCGCTCTCTTGTATAAGACGCGCATTAATCCTGAAGAGCCTGACCGTAAAATTTGCATTTCGCGGCATTACGTATGTAAAACACACACGCGCTGCCCGAGTTCACGTGCGGTTTGCGAATTTCGCCGGCTGCGTTTACCGATTGCACGATGCGAGAAATTATGACACGCTCCGCTCAAAATTAGTATCACGTGCCCTCGAGTAATGAGTGCGACAGAAGTATCAAGTACATGCGCATCATTATAGAGTGACAGGAAATTAAGTCGCCCGCCAAGAAAATTCCAGACCAAAAGAGGGGTGGTAAAATGTAATAATGTCAGACATTCATTAAATAATTTTAGATTTTCTTACACAGATAGTAAATATCAGCAATTTAAATCAAAACCTTCTAATTTTCTCTGAAAGATTTAAAATCTGAATTCTTCTCATTAAGGTTCCAAAAATCGTTTTTATTTTATTCATTCTTATATAAGGCTCACTGCGGCTCTCTTTTACCTCGGAAGTTCTAGCAAAATTATTGCTTGAGGTGGTGCCGTTTTTTCAAGCAATTCCATTTTTATATTTTAATTTTTCCTCATTTTTTTTATGTAAACAGTAAATACCGTGGAAAAATAAGCAATAATAAAAGCAAAGTTACTTGATGTAGTAATTTTTGTGAAAAATAATAGCTTTTTCAATTGCAGTTTAATTCAGATAAACGGTGTCTTTTTGTAAATTTATTTTCAATTTTATGCACCTAATTAAAGATAATACTTTGAAATTCAATCAAATGATTATTTTTAAATTTTTACTAGTGCACTCTGTATATTTACTTCCTAGCAGTTTTCGTAACAATTTTTTTAACATAAAAGAAATTACATAAGTCAAAAACCAATTAATAGAGAGAGGTTAAATTAATTCAATTCACCGTGTGGTTCTTGTAATATTACAATGAATATAAACATTTGATTTAATTTCTTTCTTCGATTTAACTCATACCGCATGCAAATTAAAATGATCATTAATGATCAATTAAATTATATAAACAAACTCCTGATATTAATTTGTGTGGAAAGATAATTATTATTTCAAGCCAATCTATTAGAAAAAAACCTGTTGAAATTTTTTTCCCCATATCTTTCAAATTATTTAACGACAAAAATCTTCAATTGCAGAATTCCTTGAATTTATTTGATTTTACTGTCCCCCGACCGGTCAAACACACCGCACCCAGCAGCGGGGGCAAGCGACCCGGGCACGACTAGTTCTTTGCGCCACTCACCTGCCGCTGTCTGGCTGGCCAGCACCCTGGCGAAGGTTGTCCGAGGCACTCCGGCGCCGCACTCAGCCCTGAGGGACGGCGCGCCTCCCTGCTGCGAGCACTCGATCTCGTGCCGCCCTCGCCTCCAATCTAAGCACCTTTCTTTCCTCTCACCACCGTGTCACCTGAACCCCGTCGAGGGTCTTGTCTCGAGCACCGACACACTACTGCTGCTTGCTTGGTGCCTCTCGCTGCGCCCTAGCAGCCCCCTAGCTGCCTTTGTACGCGCAGTCGCCGACGGTGGCGCCCCGACATCTGCAACTCTCTGCAGGCTGTGCAACAATCACTCCATTGTTGAGACGCACCTCTTTATAAACACTCTATGTTTACAAGTTTTTAATTAATCACTTCAGCAAGTTCATAGAGCTCAAAAATTTGGCAAAAAAAGTTCCCGGATCAGATTTTGGGCGTCCACGATCAAGGTCGCACAAACTATGTACAACTTTGTATGAGTTGAACTGGATTCAACTCGTGCGAATCCGCGCGAACAAAAATTTGATCCGAGACTAGCCTTCTTGCAATGGAAATATATGATCTCTATTCAGAGCTCAGACCAAATTCATATTCAATTAATATTTCAATACCTTTGTGCTTCAATTTTTTGTTTCAATTAGAAATATTTTTTTAAATAAATAAATAATAAGGTGTTATAGACTCTATAATTTAATGAACCTTAATTCTCAAATGAATTAAAACAAATTAACTTGATTTCCAGGACCTACAAAAAATGAAGCTACACTGAAAATTGAAGTTTTTGTCATTATAAGGCTGGGCTGGTTTTAAGTTGTTTGTTCTTTTCATAACCGATTGAAACCCTCTCCTAGTCCATTTTGGGCAAAATATTTTTATATATCAATTTCTCTACACCGCAGTATGTATGTTTTTAATTAAATTAGCTTATTCAAATATGTGGCCAATATTTCCACTATTTCAGCACTTCAGAAACACACGCTGTGGTGAAATTAAATTTACATTGAATTTAATTAAGAGCCAAATTTTTGCTCCCATAACACTCACGACGACGACAAGCAAACAATTTCTTCTTGCTCTCCGCCGCATTGGAAGTTGAGCCGCAAAACTAACTTTTCGGTGCGGGATAAAATTTTATGGGGGCACGCTGTGTGTGTTTATGTTTGTATAAATTATTTGGCAACGTGCCTCATTACATTCATGCGGCATTTAAAAACGGCTAGAGCGAAAGAAAGAGCCGCACGCGCGATCTACACTCGCAGTCAAAATGCTATTGCGAATTTAATGCGCCTTCTCTCGTCTTGTGTGTTCGTTTGAGAAGGCGACCGCGCGTAAAGCACATTTTCCACGCCCGTAAAAACGCTCGGGCCGTAAATATCGCATTTTTATTTTAGTTACCACGCATTTTTCAACAATCATAAATTCACAATTAAAATGGAATAGTAATGTTTGGAGGGCTAGAGAACAAAGATTAACATAATATTAGTTTAGAATAATAATAAAGTTTTGGCTACAATGAAATCACAATTTTTTTTATTATGGAGGATAGTTTTAATTTAAAATCATTAAAAAGTACTAATGAAAAAACTCACATATTTAATTGACACTTACTTAGATATTGTGTAATAAAATTTCATTGCATGCAAAATGAAATAAATATTGAAAATTGTAGCACACATAAATAAAAAATATATAAAAATTGATTAAATTTTAAATTTATAACCAAACGCTTTCTTTTCCGGAATTTTTTGCCCTACTTTTCCACCCTCCGCCCAATGGGGCAGAGATGAATAAATCATGAACGCGGAGGACGAAAAAATATAATAGATATAGTTTGGCGGCGCAAACTTGGCAGGCGCCCTCTGCTGGTCATGCAACCGCAAAATTTTTAACCTATTTAATGCCCCCTGATTTAGCAGATCGCAAAGAGTGAAGCCGAATTTATGAGATATATTCAAACAAAAGCAGCAATGGCGACACAATATGTCCCTCGCTTGTACAATCAAAGGCAGCTTTTTTGATACGGCGGCTGTTTTGGCACGGCTCTCCCTATTGATATACACCACAGTGCAGAATTATTGCAGCGACCAACTTTGCCCCTGCCCAGCACTGCCAAAACTGATCATGGTTTTATACAAGTGTGGCCGGTTAAACGATGTGACCTGGATTGTTTAGCGGAGAATGTGCCAAAATGATAAATTTGAAAATTTCCTTTAAAGATATATAGAACACCTGAGGAAATAAATTATTAGGTAACTTCGTACTTGGCACTTAAACAAGATCAAAAGGAATGCACAAAATAATATAGAGTTAATTTTAACCTGATTTTGACTCAAAAATTTATATTGCCGCGGTCAATCACATTCAATAAATAAAATCCTATAGCCGGTTGAAATGACACAATGAAGAAATAATTCCATTAATTTTTTCTTTTATTTCCTGTAACACACAACAAAATAACGATTCATACTCTGGTTGATGATTTGATAAAAATTGAGTTTTTACACATTCTTTTCCAGTAGTAAAAAAATCATAACATTGGTCCAGTGTGAAATGATGTTGTTTAAGCTCGTTCCACACTAATGACTTTAAGGTACAAATAGACTGCACAAATCCCCAAATCACAATAAAAACGTTTAGTAATTTTCCTCTTTAAATTCGGTATTAATATTTTGAGTATTAACTACTGATTTTTTAAAGATTTGATTTTACGCACAAGCAAAATCTCACAAGACACTTTGCATTAAACTGCAGTTGTCCTAAGCGACTAAAAATTTATTTCTACGACTGTGATGCACTTTGGGCAACAACTTTGAAGACACGTTCATGACTCACATTAATATACGATTACGACTTGATAGTCTCTGCTTGGACCGACCTCTTTGAAAAGTGTGTCTCTTCGTCGAGGCTGCAAATATAGATTCTAGAGAGACATCAAGTCAGTCTGTGTAAAACATCTCAAGAATATGTGTATAGTATATTTTCATAAAAGTATATATAATGTAGATATATATAATTATATCAAATCACGGACATTTTGAATAAACACATTTTTGCCATTTAGCATCACATTGAACAGATTTCATTTAAAATCCATCAAAAATACACATGTGGTAGGGCTTTCTTTGAAAATGTAGATGCTGCATCGGACAATGTCCGGTGACTTTCTTTGGCCCAGCTCACCACACAATTTACAATTTTTAACATCACACTGAGTACCCTGCATCATCACAACAATGCAAACTTTGCTTAAAATTAGATTTTAAATTTTTATCAAAATAATTCTTCTGATAAAACACCTGTGTCCAGCTTGCTACAATCAAGCTTGTAAAATACGTACGCTCCTCTTCATTTGGCACAAATTTTTGATTTAATTCACTGACTTGGTGGCTGGTTAGGAGGGATGCCAATACCTGAGGTGAACAACAGCTGCGCCTGTTGCTGCGATAGCTGGAACGGAATCGTTTCGTCTGAGCGTCCACTGATCATCTAGAAAATTTCAGGTTTTAAATTTGTCACTTATTCCGAAAAGATTGGACTCACTTGATCATGCATGCCTATTTCCTGAGTGGGCGCGTACATGACTGGCGCCGACCTGCTTGCCGTGCACATTAGTTCTGTTGCTGCATTGAGAGGGGTTGTACTGCATGTGGTGACACCAGTTGTGGAGTATGGGACTGAAACCTGACAGCAAGAGACAAAATTTATTTTTAAATAAAAAAATCTAATTTTAAAATGCTAAAGATTTTAATTAATTTACATTAAAATGATAAAAAAATTGTATAAAAACTATTTTAATTTTTTACCTGGCCAACGTTAAGAGGTAGTATGCCGTATCGAGCCATAAGAAGCTGCTCGCTAACTCTCCGCAGCTCTTCCTGTTGCTGAACTATGAGCTGTTGAAGCTCTGCATGTTTTCTTTGAAGTTGATCATGGATTTGGTTCTGTGGCGCGGTAACTACCAAGGGCTGCCTTAAAAGCTGAAACAACAACAAAATTATTAACTTGGAATATTTTTTTTTCAATTATTATTTCATCCTCCAATTCCTCCAACTTCTCCAATATTTGATATATAAAAAATGTTTTAATTTTCATTTTGCCTACCTCAGGTGGGGCCATTGTTGAAATGACGGTAGGTGCCGGGAACGGAGCAATCATAGCTGGTTGAACAGGAATGGCTGCTACGAACTGCTGCGGCTGTTGGTGCTGGTGTGGCGGTGCCAGCTGAAGAGTGGGTGCAGGTGGTTCTGAGGAATAGGCGGTGGTGATGACAGCGCTGACACCTCTCGGCTGAATGCTCTGCTGATGTGAGTGGTGCACTGAGTGACTGGACGCTGTGTCTTCTCGTCCGGAACGCTGCGTCGGGAAAGAAAACGATTAAAGATTCACAAATTCTAAATTTAAAATTTTTTATCACTACCGACTTGTAATTTGAAAAATAAATAAAAACTTCCTGATAAATATTACCTTCCTCTTTTTAGGCACACAAACAAAAGGTGTAGAATTTTCCTATAATGATTTTCATAGAAAAAGTTTTACATTGACAAGAAATTTACTTACTGCGCTCTGAACTGTCATTCTTGAATGGCGTGAAGTGGGCGAATCAGCCGACATTGAATTGCAGTCCGAGCCGGGGCCACATAGTTTGGACGAGGGTCCCTTTCCAAGTCGAGATGGAGAACCATCAGTCGATCTCACTCCGAATCTCGAACTTCGTCCGACTGAGGATTTACTTGGTGACCAAGATGCTGGAAGTCCAGACTGAGTGATGGTTGCCGACAGCTGAGAGTCAGTTTGTTCTTCGTCCTCAGCCTCAATGTCTCTGTCCAAGTCCAAGGATTCACCCTGGAGGTTTTCAGGGTCCATACCATCCATATCTGCTCCTAATTTGTCCAGCTTATTTGGAGATTCCCGTAACCGCCTCATTACATCAATGTAGCTAAATTTAAACATTCTTAAGTAATTGTCTTAGGCAATTAGGTTATTGCATCTACCTCACAACACTATGAGTGCACACAATAAATTCTGGTTTAGAGTTCCATTGGTGGTAAGTTATGTAAAACCGAGTTTGCAGCCATATCCACTGCTGTCCCTTGGTCAAAAATCTGTAGTAGCAAGAAGTGCCTTCGCCTTTTTGCATTACTGTCAGATAGTTTTTTTATTAATTGAAAATGACTCAAATTTTATTATACTCACATGCTTCATGGCAAGCCACAACTTTTTCGAGATCATCTATGTGGTAGTAATCGTAGCCAGAGGTTCCCAGCACCTCAAAAGGAAGGTATCCAATAATCGGAGGAGCTCTAAAAATTTCTCCAGGTTAATTCCAAGCATAAAAAATAAAATCAGTCTGCAAACCTGTGATCCAAAAACAAAAATTTCCACTCCAAGCTGTGTCTCGAGGTGAACTCACTTTTACTCGAGTCGACTATGGACATTTCTCGGATAAGTTGGGGTGTTTGCAAGCGGCCAGTACCAACAAAGACAATACTATAAATAATAAGGTAAATAATGACTGATTCAATAAATTATTTAATTAATATGCCTATTGTTTTCGTCGGGAAAACTGTTGCTGCTCGAAATCATGGCATCAATGTCTGCCGAGTCCACAATAGAACCTGTTATAACTAACATGATGTTATAGTCCAAAAAGATAGATAGTTTACTTACGGAAGTATCCTACAAACTGGACGAGTTCATAAGTAAGTTCTTCGTTGAAGTCTAATCCTCCTCTTTTCATGTGACAGAAAAATGTGGTTTGGTTTTCTAGAATAGTATAAAAAATTATTAAATGAAATTTAACTTCTCCAAAAATATACCTCTTCCGAGAGAGTATTGTGATGATGATTCCACAGTGTTTGTAGGATTTAGCAGTATGTTGTACAAATCCGACTGGTCATTCTCATAAGCCATGTCGTAAATGGTTGTGTTAAGAAGATCATTCTAAATAATGAATTGTATAACTGAGTATGATTTCTACATAAACATTTTGGGAATTTAGTGAATGATTCTATAATACTTTTTAGAGTTAATAAAAACTCCAAATTAAATGATTTTCTTAGTAGAAATTTACCGGCAGGTGCCCGAGAAGTGAAGTGATGCTTTCTGAGGCATAGAAAATTCTTCCTGAGCATGAGAACACCATGATGAATCCATCGAGAGCCTCCAAAATTAAATGGGTGAATTCTTCATTAGACAGAAACGTTGGTTTCCACTCTTCTTGTATCTCATGAGCTCTCGAACGAACGGTAATTTCTAAAATTGACATGATTTAAATAAAGTAAAGAAGTCTGATGAGAAAAATACCATTGTGATTCCTAATGAATGATATGGTTGACTTGAGGACTGTCGACTTGTCCATTTTCCTACTCGTAGATGAAACCATTGAGCTGAGCTCATTGATAAGCATGTTGAATTGGTCTCGTCTTTTCTTCTCACTCAAATTACGAGATTTTCTGTGGAAAACAATTTCACTTCACAAACAAATTATTATTTCAATAAAGAGAGTACCTTTTGGTATCGTCCTTGTCATCCAAATCATCGTCCATAGTGTCCCTGAATTGAAGCACAGATCATAAGACCATAAAAATTTATCAATCAATTAAATTATCAACATACTCCGATCGTCTTGACGACCCTCGGTTTATAAAACTTGACGACATCGACATTTTTGTTTGCGGCTCAGGCCCTCACACCCAGCGAAACCACACTCAGGTTCACCCCTGCTTAATGGAATGTTGGACACTCTTGAGCCATGATGACAGCAGTAGTCGCCTATAGAAAAATACATTCTTTTGTATTGAGTCCTTCACAAGACTGTCAAACTTTTCATGTAACAGGCAGCGGGAAAGGGACCAAAATCCTTACCGCGAAAAATCTCTCAGGTCTTCGTTGTCGAAAATCAGCAAATTTAAGAGAAAATTATAGCGTCCAAAGGTGTAGGGACCAGTGCTGATTTGTGTCCTTAATTATGCATACTAGGGATATTGTTGTTTTTTACTATATTAATTCAAGACCCGCAGCCATGGCCTTTTGCGAGCTTCGTGTCCATGTCCACCAACTCCACCTGTGTTGGCGAACAAAAGATATAAAGTTAAAGCAGATAGATGTCTCTGGGACATCGTCGTAGTAACGTTTACCTACAGCAAAAGCCAGGCGAGAAATGTGCGCAAAAAGTCTGCAAAAATTAGTGCAAAATATGGCGAATTTCTTCCCATTCGCGAACACAAAGATTTAATTTGGTTGTGTTTATTGTGGAGGGGTTAAGACTCCACCCATTTTTTTAATTTTACCGGTTATTTATGATGAAAATAAGAAACCGGTTTTATTTGAAGTTAAATATGACAATTTCTAAATTTCTGTCAGTTCTTTTGCAAATTTGACGAAAAAAAACTAATTTTTAGATAATTGAAGTAAATTTTTGGCTACATTGACATTGTGCATAATAGTATAATATTATTATATTTTCTAATTTCTAAACAAACATTTGCAAAATTACCGGTTATGTGATTTAGTAAAACCGATTTTCAGCATACGTCACACGAGCGAAAAATGGTCAGCTGCTTTCTGGGTGTGCGACGTTCGCAGAAAGTGTCTGCGAGCTGCGAAATAATGACGCGAGTTTTGCAATTTTCGGTCGCGTCGTCGTCTTTTTGAAAACAATATTTCGGACATGAGAATCTTCGCGTGAAAAGCAAGTATGGAGATCGAACAGGAGACCGTGTACGGGACGCATGAGGATAATCATGTCGTCATGTCGGAGAAGGTGCAAAGCCTGGCTGGCAGCATTTATCAGGAATTCGAACGTATGATCGGCAAGTATGACGAAGAGGTGGTCAAGGACCTTATGCCTTTGGTCGTCAACGTCCTCGAGTGTCTCGACCTGAGCTACACCGAAAACCAGGAGCACGAAGTCGAGCTCGAGTTGCTCCGAGAGGACAACGAGCAGCTCGTCACCCAGTATGAAAGGGAAAAACAACTGAGGAAGGGTGCTGAGCAGGTTGGCGAAAATTCAAAATTTATTTATTGAAATGTTTTTACATTATTTTTAATTTTTTAGAAATTGCTTGAGGTCGAGGATGCGGGCGAAGATGAGAGGAAAGACTTGCACTCGAAAATCGAAAGCCTCGAAAGTATTGTTCGAATGCTGGAACTTAAATCCAAAAACTCTTCAGACCATGGTAAAATCTAATCCATTATTTAGCACTTTTAATCATTATTATTATTTTTTTAATGAATTTTTAGTTTTCCGCCTTGAGGAAAAAGAGACCGAAATGAAAAAAGAGTACACCAAGCTCCACGAACGCTACACCGAATTATTTAAAACGCACGTCGACTACATGGAGAGAACCAAAATGATGCTGGGATCCGATCGGCTCGAGTCTATGGGTGGCTCTCGCACTCGCATTCCTGGAATGAGTCTGGGTCCCATGCAAAGGTCCTCGGGCCCAGTATCTTTCGGCTTCAGCTCGCTCGAGTCCTCAGCAGTCATGAGCCGTACTATCAGTAGTCCAAACGACTATGACGAGTCGCAGGGTCTTTCGCCCATGGGCAGTCCATCCAACACAAGCCTAAAAAACGAACTGCAATTAGGGGTTTGGTTTTTCTGGCTATTTTTTATTTTAATATATTTTATTGGTTTATCAGGACGTATCGCCATTACCTGTGGACAAGACCCCTGTCGACAAAGCTCCTGCCAAAGGTATTTGTTGATAATTTAAAGCACCTTGACTATTTTTTTTTTGTCATTGGTTAAGTTAATTTGTTTTTAATTGAGCCAAAGAAAATAATCCAAAGTTAATTCTTGAAATGTAAAGAGGTCAACCAAAGTTATTATTCTTACTTTATATTTTTCCTCCAGCAATTTTTATTCAATTTTTTCATCCTTGACCAAAACCATTAAAGTGGTTGATGCTACTGAATTTCTTTTTTTTCTATCTCATACTTTACCATTGAAGGAAACCCATTCTACTTTGCATTGCAATTATTATGAATTAATTGAAATTAATGATCCTGGTAATTTTGTAATTTGATTTGCTTTTCGTAACAGGAGCCTATAATGTAACATTTATGCAACTTGTTTCACATAAGTTGTCCTTGATTTCTGCTATTGTTATAAAAGTCACGATCATGTGGTTTGGCAAAGAAATGCCATAAAAATTCTTATTGTCAGTTCTGAAAATGAGGTTGGTGTTTTTAGGTGCTTGGGTTGATGGTCTCAGCCCGGATATCAAATCTCCAGGGGCCGACGACGAACTGCCCACACCAACGCAGGTCGAAGATTTCGAAGGTCACACGCAGAGCACTGCAGTTGGGCCACAGGGCCATAGCAAAACGAAAAGGTGCGTCTACTTTTAATCCCTTTTTTAATCCTCTAATCTGATGAAATCATTTCCTGCTCACCGCAGAGAGCAAAGAAGTGGCAACACTCTGTATCAGGAGCTCAGTTTTCAAGACGCAGATGCCCTTACTGAGATCGACGAGGGCGCCGACATCACCGGTAAAATTTCAAAGCCCCACTTAAAAATTGATTGGAAATATAATTTTTTTACTACATTTATTTTAAATTGATTAATGACTCCTGCTATTTAAATAATAATAATTTAAATTTTGGATATTGGATCCATATCTCATTGAAAAATTTAATCAATTTTTAATTCCATGCACTCAGGAGGCTGGGTTCATCCAGGAGATTATGCCTCTTCTGGTTTGTATTCGTTCCCCAATAGCTTGCACATTTTAGTTCCTATTTGTTTAGAGTGTATAGAGCCCTTAAACATCATGATTATCATTCTCTAGGCATTGGTCACTTTTTCTTTTTTTATACTATTGGTTGTAGCGGTTTTCACCCTGATTTATGTTTGCACTGTTGTTTTTATTGCATGGTTGAAGACAGTAGCAGTGAAGATGAGCAACTTTCTAAACGGGCACCTTTCGGACCGGTCAGACGCAATGGTACGCTTTTTGATCACCCTCTAGTTCCTCTTTTTAGTTTGTACAAAAAAAATCCTAGCATGATTTATGTATATCATTTCAGTGCACCGAAATATTTCAGTTGTAGAATTATTTTGTGCACATTTTATTTTTTTTATTTTTGCAATAAGCGTCTGTCTAGTTGGTAATGGAGCAGCACGAACTTGAGAAATCATTCTCTTAGCTTAATTGTAATAATATTTCCCAAATCGTAACTAACAGAGTTTTCTTTTTATGCTTCCTCCTGGTGGCTCTTATGTTGGGAACAACAGTCAATGACAATTTCTTTGGTAAGTTCGTCTTCTAATCAAATACATCTCTTCATCAATAATAATCCCTAAAATATATAAATGTGGAAATTTTCTTTAATGTTTCAACTCTAAATTTCCTAGGAATGGGCAAGGAAGTGGAAAATCTCATAATGGAAAATAACGAGCTTCTCGCAACCAAGTGAGTTTCATTTGAATATTGGCAATACATTTGCATAACTATTTTTTTTTATCAAAGGAATGCGCTGAACATTGTCAAGGATGACCTTATAGTCAAGGTGGATGAACTGACCAGGTGAGAAAAAAATGAAGGCAAACCTGTAGCAAAACATTCATATTGTTCTTTTAAATAGTGAACAAGAGATACTGCGAGAGGAAATTCAATCTCTCAAGGGCAGCAGAGAGAAACTCAAAGGCAGAATCACAGAGCTAGAGGAGGAGGTGAAGCAAGCTAAGGAGGAAGTGGAGAAGGCCAACAAGGCCAATAAGTCTGACGATGAGGTAATTATTATATTTTGACAGAAATTTGATACTAAAATTTAAAATTTAGGAGGATGTTCCGATGGCCCAGAGAAAGCGATTCACCAGAGTTGAAATGGCCAGGGCCATAATGGAGAGAAATCAATACAAGGAGCGCTTTGTGGAGCTCCAGGAGGCTGTGCGGTGGTCGGAAATGATCCGGGCGACCAGAAGTGACGCCTCTTTAGACAAAAAGACCAAGCAGAGCAACGGAATCCTTAAATTGTAATGATTATAAAATTGAGTGCGTGTAGATTATTTCTAATATTTGGAAATAGTTTTAGCAACCTTTTTAGCTCGGACAGACCTCAAGACAAAATCGCGCCTTATGTGAATGTCCACTACAATGCCCCGACACACAATGTCCGGCCTGCCCTTGACACAATGCGAAAGCGAGGTCTTAAGGACAGAAAAAGAGGGGGTATGGAAAGTCTGGATAATGACTTGTCTGAGAAGTGGCAGGCAAGACAAGCAGTTGAAAGACGAGAGCATTACCGACAGGTTTGTTTAATGCGTTGAAGTTTATTAAATAATTTATAAATACGGCTAAATTCCTTTAAATGAAATTAATTAAAAAAAAGATAAACATTAATTAAATTTTTTTGTTGTATAGGTGAGAGCACATGTTCGAAAGGACGATGGCCGCATGCAGGCTTATGGATGGAGTCTGCCAGCCAAGGCAGGTCCTTCGAGCAGTGGTTCAAACTCTGCAATGCAACCAAGGTCGTCCTCTTCCTCGGGGGTGCCAGTACCAGTGCCAGTCTACTGCCGCCCACTGGCTGAAGGCACTCCAGGGATGAAAGTCTGGTGCGCAGCCGGAGTCAATTTAACGGGGGGCAGAACCAGAGACGGTGGCAACATAGTCGGTGCTTCTGTATTTTACTCAGTGGACAGTCCGGAGGGAAAGAAGACTGAGGAGCCATCGTCCGAGGTCGACAAGCTCGACAGAGAACTACAGGTAGCTTTTATTTCCTCTAGATGTGTTTGAATTTTATTTTATTATTGAATCAGGATAATCAAAAGGCTTCTAAGGAGGCGCAGCAAATTGAGACTCTACTTTCATCCTTAGTCTGGATCTGCACGAGTACCCACGCCACAAGCAGGGTTACAGTGCTGGACGCCAACAATCCTGCAGACATTCTTGAGTCATTCACTGTCTGCAACTCTCATCTTTTGTGCATAACAAGTGTACCAGGTAAAAAATAATATTTAATGATAATGTTATGATTATGATTTAATTTAAAATTAGATTTTTAGGCTTCTGATTGTATTAATAATAAGATTTTTAGTTTTTTGACTATATTACAATTTGATGATATTTATCTTAAAAAAAATTTCAGGTGCCAAAGAAAGTGATTATCCAGATGAACTCGGAAACAGCACAGAAGTGAGCCCCGAGAAGGCTCAGCCTGAACCCAAGGAAGAAACCCCCAGTGAAGGCCAAGATGATGGGGAGGACAGCATGGTTGGTCGCTTGACCTTTGTCTCGTGTGCGACCGGAAGTGCCCCACCCCCTGTGCCCAGTACCTCTGACGAGGAAGAGGCTGCTGCGCCAATGCAGACGCCACGGTCGGTCTCGGCGATCGAGTTGCACTGTGAGTGTTTAAAAGATAACCCAAATTGCCTCTGTTGAATGTGCGCTTTGTGTATACTTACTTGTGGACACTAATTCTCTTACAGCACTTGCTAACCCCAACAATGAACTTCCTGATTCCTATAATCCGCCCCGGCGTTTACTCAAGGAAGCTTCGGGTATTGTTAAAGATGGGCTGTCAGAGGTGTCAAAAGGTTGATATTCTATCTCTCAAAATTTTCAATTGTTCTTTGCTCTGCACTTCTGTACATGAAATGCTTCACGCTTTTTTTTTCTTTATAAAACCTTAATGTCTTCAGTCTTCAGCGTTTCAGCAGACTGATTTTCAAATCTTAATTTTTGCCCAAAATCTCTTCAATTCTGTTGATTCCAGCTATTCAATAAGCAACCTTTCGCAATTACCAAAACTCTGAAAAAGTTTAAAATCAACAATACAACTAATCCACTAATGTTTTTTCTTATGTCGTGTTTAATACTTTGGATGTTAATCTGACGTTTGTAAATTTCAGCAAACGAACATGCTTATAACGAAATGGAGAAAATGTCGAGCGTTTTGCCAACCATGTGGCTCGGCTCGCAAAACGGAGGACTTTACGTCCACTCCGCCGTTTCTCAGTGGAAACATTGCATTCACTATATCAAGCTGAAGGACCCTGTTTTGAGCATTATGTAATCTAAGGCTAAAAATTTGTCTCTGGGGTGAATTCAGAATTTTTATTGCAGACACATTCACGGCCGAGTGTTGGCAGCTTTGGCAAATGGGTCGGTGGTGATTTTCCGACGAGGCACTGACGGACAGTGGGACCTTGGCAAGCACCACATTCTTGATCTGGGGGCACCGCATCACTCGATCAGGTGCATGACTGTGGTTCACCAGTCGGTCTGGTGTGGCTACCGTAACAGGATCCACGTTGTTGATCCTCGATCCATGACAGTTGAGGTATTGTTAAATAATCATAAGATTTATTTCCTTTTCTTACTTTCATTTAATTGTTTTTCATTATTAACTATTTTTACTGTAATTTAAAGAACTGAATTTTTGTTGGACAGAAAACTTTTGACGTCCATCCAAGAAAGGAAAGCCAAGTGCGGCAGTTGGCCTGGCTGGGTGATGGAGTGTGGGTGTCCATTCGGCTTGACTCAACCCTCCGACTGTACCACGCACACACCCATCAACATCTGCAAGACGTCGACATCGAGCCCTACGTCAGCAAAATGCTCGGTCAGTGTACTGAAGTAGAAATCCACTCAGGATCCAGCTTTTGTTAAAAATTTATTAATTTCACATTTAATCGCTTGATAGATACCTTCCGCTCGCAAATCAAGTTCACAGGTTTGAATGAAATCCTGTTGAAAATTAAAGACTTGCACAGAAAATTTTATGAGGGTTTGCCGACTTTTAAGGGTACAAAATCGTATTCAAAAATTTATTTAAATCTTTAAATCCATTAGGCCTGTAAGTGAACAAGGTCAAATGCTGACTCATTTTCTTTCTTCATTTCTTGGTTTGATTTGGTCTCCTTGATGGACTTATCGACATTAGCTGTTTTTCCTGGAGGTATACTTAAATTACAACGTAATTTTACAAATTTAAAAATTATGTCCATGTTTAGGGGTGTTCTTGCATTTATTAACCTTTTCATAACCTGCCGCTAATTATTATATCTAGCTGCATGACTTTTTCTAGCAATTTAATTTATTAGAGTTTTCAACTAAATTAATTTGTTGGTCTTTACTTTGCCTTATTTATTCATTGACTCTCACAGGTACTGGCAAGCTCGGATTTTCCCTCATCAGGATAACTGCCCTGCTGATATCCTCTAACAGGCTCTGGATCGGCACTGGCAACGGTGTCATAATTTCAGTTCCTCTCTCAGAAAGTAAGTTCAATCATATTTTTTATCGTTTTTTATGTTTATCTAGATTACCATTGGGATTACAAAAAGAAAAACAATATTTTTTAGCAACTAATCTTTGTTTTATATATTTTCTCTTTCTTTTAAAAATTAAATCTAATATAATTTATTAGAAGTACGTTAAATATAATATCTTATTGTAATTTTAAATATATTTAGAAATTCTCAACCAAACCTCCCAATTAAAAAATTATTAAATTATTAACAAAGTTAATTAATAATTAACAATAAAGGTGCTGGTGGCCGCCCAGGAAGCAGTCAGAGTTCGTCTAGCGGGAACTTTGCTGTTGGATCCCCTCCGAGTGGCAGCTTCAAATCTTCAGGGTCCCTGGTCAGGGTATACACTGATCCAAAGGGAAGCAAAATTACGCCCGGTAGCTTTGTGCCTTACTGCTCGATGGCTCAAGCGCAGCTCTCTTTCCACGGCCACAGAGACGCTGTCAAATTTTTTGTAGCCGTTCCTGGAAAAGGTCTGAAATTTTCCCTTATTTTTTAAATTCGATTGATAAGTTTATTTCTTTTACTTAGGTACACCCGGTTTGTCTGGGGAAACGACTCCGGACACTCCTGCCGTGGAAGTAGCCGAGGCGGCCACTGCACTGATTGGAGAGCGGTCGCCCCAGTCCATGTTGGTCATGTCCGGGGGCGAAGGCTACATCGACTTTCGAGTTGGTAAGTACCAACTCTTGGTGATCACCGGTTTGGTTCTCCGCTTTCACTAACCCTGCGGATTTTATTTTTGGAATAATTCTTTGGTAATTCTGCACCATATTTGAAAAAAGGTACTTTCCAAAAATTGGTCTGCAACTTTTCCTTACTAAAAAATGCAAATCATTTTCCAATTGTCGGATCAATCCATCAAAACTATATTGGCATGTAGTGGTGAGTTCAGGCTAGTTTGTATTTCATGCTAAATTTCTCGAACTAACCCCAAGTCCGTTAAAAATCAAAGCAGCTGCATCCAAGGTGAGCACCCACCAAATCCATCCACGAGTAAATTAATTACAATTTTTTTTTTGTGTCGGAAGTGACGAGCACGGTTTTCACCAAATTGGTTTTTAATTTTTTTCTCATTTTGTAAAGCAGTGGCGCACCCTTTCCTAAATTCATTATTAAAAAAAAAAAAAAATCGAAAATCAAGACGCACGGTTGGTTTGAACTGGTTTTGATTTGAAAATGCGCCTGCAGCGAGTGGGATCAAATCTCCTGTGGAAAATTGTTTTATTCCAGTGGATGATGGGGAAGAGGCGCTGGACGTGGCTAGCCACCTGATTGTGTGGCAGCTCAACAACCAGCCGCTGTCTCGCGGCTCCTCTGGCCACAAGCATGAACCTGAGCCGTCGGCCCAGCAGCAGCAGCCGTCTAACGGGGAGGCCCAAGCCCCTCAAGCTGGCCCTGCTACTTAGTTGATGTGTTTTTGAGATAAACTAGTCAGTTAGTAATTTTTTTAACTTTGTGATTCATACGCACTTCCCGAGCTCTCTGTTTGCAAAAAACTACTTTTGATTTTTCTCGTCTTCCCTTCAAATCGATTCCACGTTTTATTTTTGTAGTTAGTCTAAAAAAAATTGGTAGTAGTTTGATACCAAAATCATCACAAATCCATAATCAAAATTTCTGGTAAGAAGAAAATTTTATCAGTTGCAAAAAATAAATGAACAATTTCCATAATAATTATCGATTGCATGGCGCAAGCCTCGAAGGTGGATCCTGCTGATTGGTGAAAAAAAATACATTATTAAAGGGACTTGAAAATATAATGAAGTAAACTTTTCTTTACATTAAAAATTTAATAGGCTTCTAGCTAAGCTCAATTGATTATTTAAAATTTAGGCCCTAAATTTTTATAAATCTTAAAATTATCAAACGCACATTGAAATTAAAATATAATTCTTAATCAAATTTTTTTCTTCTTGGAAACTCTGGAATATTGAAATAATTACAATTTTTTAAATAAATTTAATTAAATTTTCAAATCCTTTATAATAATTAATTCTTTTGAAATTTTGGAATTTGCAGGACCTATGGACCCACCTTGGAAGTTCTTCTGCTTTATAACTACATAATATAACTGTTTGTGGCTTTTTTAAAATCAGAATCTCATCATTTTCAATTCTTAATCAAAGCTTTCTTTAAACTCTTCGAACTAATAATAATTAATTGATGCAAAAACAATGATTAAACAATTTTGTTAGGTATTTGAATAAATACATATGAATGTTTTTCTACAAATTTTGCAGGAGATGGCGGCGAAGAAGAGGACGAGATGTGTCTGAATGAGGAGGATGATGTCATCTGCACGGACCGCCCGGACTTCAATGCAGGTCTTGTGTCCAAAATGGACCGCAGCCACCTGATCGTATGGCAGGTCGTCTCGGACTGACTCCATAAAAACTCACGGCTAGTCCTGAAATCTCATCCTTAATTATCTTACAATTAGTTTATAGACACGTTTTAAGCTTCTTACATGTTGACGGACACCATTGCTTTTGATAACAAACGCGCCTTATTCCAATTTTATGTGCTCAAAATTTTTATCAAAACTAACTTACTGCAACTGTTTTAGTTCTTACTCAATCTAGTTTTTAACTTTTGCTGTGATTTTCGACCGGAAGAAGTTTTTTATGTATGAAGTTATAGTGGAAATTCGCTTTTTGGAAAATGCACAAAATTTATTTTGATCAGGTGCACAAGGGTGTTTTAAAAGTAGCAAGAAAATTTTGCCAGTTGATTCGGCCCATTTTTTTACTAGTAAGACAAGCATTGCGATGAGACGCTTCGACATTCATGTGTAAACACTTATGGAATTAATTAAAACACTCTGTGATTGAAATCGAAGTAACAGTGTTGTTCTGCCCACGGACATGAATATTCAAATTAACCGACCTGCTGCTAATTGTGAGATTTGCCTAAAGTGGACCGAAAGAAGAAGAAGAAAAATAATGATTGGTGTGCAAAACGCAAGCTTTCTCATTACCACAACAAGTATAAATCAGCGTGTGCTTTTACGAAAGATGTGGCAAGTGTCATTTTTTTACTTTACTTACTTATCGATTAAAAAGAAAGAATGTATTATACACCGTAAAAAGTAGAAAGAATCAGTACCACCATGTGACAAATATTATATATTACACATTATACTGTATCAGAGAGCATTTTAGCTATTAGCAAACACAACCCGGTTCATTCTGAAGTTTTCTTGAAAGCGCCAAAGATTGTGTTTCACTCTCCGGATTTTATTTTCGTAATGTGTGCAGATTTAAAAAGAAATGATTCTGTTGATTTACCAGTAGTTGTTATTTATTTCAGCTGGAAGTTGATTATTATTGATTGAGTTACTCTACCTGTACAATTATGTATATTAAAGAAGATGCTAATCAGTGCTCTGAATTTGGCTTGTAGTGTCATTCACCGACAAGCTTTGTTGTCCCAGTGCCAACTCATCGCTATTCCGACTCGGCGTTTGATGATTATTGCGCCATTAAAAAATACACGATCCGAGCTGAATAATCCACAATGCGTACTTGCAAAAGTTTATTGACCTGATGGTATACAAATTTAAAAACGTTAAATAGTTTGTATTAATTGAAGGCCTCAAAACATTTTCTTTCTTGTTCAAGTGGAGTCAACAAACTCAAAGGTTGGTGCGCAGACCGCCCTGCCAAAATGCTCATTTCATTTTTGTTTGTTGTTCAAGCAATGACTTTTCTTTCACGCGAGAAGACGTGTATGGAAGTGAGGAGGAGCGAAATTATTTTTTTTTTTGGAGGACGCGCTGCTTTTAGTGACACTAATGAAAGACGAAACGCATCATCTTCGTATTCCTTCAATATGGTTTTGTTTGTACTGTGGGCGCTCACTCAGGCTTGGCGAAAAGGAGATGCTAATTTTAGCCACAAATAGAAAGCAACAGTTCAGATTTTTCTGCTTTTTTACAGTATTGTTCACAGTTTGGCTAACTTCATATCAAATGAAGAGTAAAAAATAAAAATATAATCTATTTTTTCGGTTTTTAACAAAAATTTTTACTCATTTCACATTTATTTTTAAGTGCATTATTCTCTATATAGTCGGCTGGGTTGCAAACGAAAAGGTTTTAATGAAAACACGTTCGTACCTGACTGGCTGGCATATCAGGCAGTCACTGGCACTCTCGATCTGCGGCGGTGAGAGATGCTGCGGCACCGGAAAGCGTAGGCGAACCTGAAAGAGAAGTGAGCGACGAGAGAAGAGATTTTATTATTTTTCATTTCGGAGAGGTGCCTCTGCTTCGGTGGATGAGAGATGCTGAGAAGGAATTTTGATTCATTTTCTCTCGCTCCTCGTCTCTGAACTCAGAACACACACAATGTGCAAACGAGTCTTACACTTAATCCCGTCGTCCTTTTAGGCTGTTCAACTTTGGGTTCCTAGTCAAGTTTTGAAAAAGTAAAAAATAACTTTTAAGGGATTTTGGAATCTAAACTCAAAGTAACAAATTACTTTATAAAAAAACTTATTTTTTTTGTAAATTTTTTGACATTATTTTATTATTATTTTTTCTTTTAAATACGGCAGAAATCAATTAAAATAAAGAGAATTTAAAAAATTATTATTTAAAAAAAAATTCAAATTGAATTTTTATCAAATAAAATTAATTAAATTTACATGATTTTATCTTGTGAATTTATATCTTGCAGAATAGGTCATTGTAAAAAATGAACAACCAGTCAAATTTCCACGATGTTTCAGCCGATTAAGGCAGATGCGCGCTGATAAATAATAATAGTACAAGAAGTCTAATATGTCCGTAATAACATTCATGTGTTGCTCTTTTCGCTGCTCCTTCGTATAACAACGGGCAGTGTAGTCGCTTATATTCGCATTTGTTGAGGCGATTTTTTCTACAACGTTCGGTCACGATTTCGCTCCTTGCCTCCATTGAGAAGAAAATCTCCGCTTTTTATTAGCACACACACACACGCGGGGCCCTTGAAAATGAATCGCATTTGCATCTCCAGAGAAAGACGGCCGGGTAATTATGAATGAGCCCAAACAATGGCCAATCAAGAGTGCGTATTTTGCCCTCTTGATACATAAAAAAAGAACGTCTTTCAGCGGCCCACACAATGCGCGATGCAGCAATTTGCATGAAACACTTTTTGGCAATAATCTTAAAGCTCTCCAACCAAAAACATAATTCAAGAAAAACACCGTCATTTCAAATAAAAAAATTAAACTTTGGTGATTTTATGTCAATTTTTTGCACGTTTCTCCCTTCGTGTTTAATTTTATTTTAAAATAAATGATATTTTTCAGATTTTGGTTATGTTTTAGTATTCAATTTTTCTGCTTGGAAAACTTTTTGAAGTTTTTCATCCGTGGCCAAAATTAGAATTAAATATTATGAAATTACTAAATGGAAAAATTAATTATTTATTAAAAATATCTTTAATTTTCTCAACATAATTTATTTTTCTGCAAAACTTGTATATTAAAGTGACAAAAATTTCAAAATCTCATTATAATGATTAACAAATATGTAATTCAAAATATTTAAATTTATCATTGATCTACGCTGAGCCACACAACGGTACAATTTGTAGTAAAGCAATTTGTCCCAAAGTGCCTTGTTTCGCAACTCTCGGTGTATATTTATTGAGAATTTTCGACGCTAGCTCGGTGCTCTCGTCAGCAGTCAGGAGGCGTTTTTCCCGACATTTATTTTGCAATAAATGTATGTTGCGCGTCTGGCAGGTGTCACGAGAGAGGCAGCGCTGCTGAGATCTCGCGCGCGGAATAACTTGATATAAAATTATATTATTATTCACTTACACACATTTGCACACCACTGAAAAGCAGGTACGCCCAGGTGCTCGTTATATTTCTATTGTTGCGATCGTTGGTACCGTAATAATTAATTGTCGAGACCGAAGGAAAGAGATGCCTTGGTGTGTGTCAAAAACAACAAGAAAAGTTTCACAAGAAATATCACCGCAGCGCTAACTTGATGAGAATAAATTATCAGATACAACGCAGACATTATTCAGGTTGGGTCATTCTTAAGATTTGAATTGTGTACCTCTGGGTGTCCTTTGTACTCCTTAATGCCCGTTTTATGAGCCTTAAATTAAAATTTAGAATAAATTATTTTTCTTCAAATATGATAAATAATTATTTTCATGGAATCCAACCTCGAGAGTTTTTTTTTTTTTTTTTTTTTTAATTTTTATCATATATTTTTTTTCTAGATAAAAGTGTCTTGCCTTGAAAATCACTGCAGTTAAGCAATAATTGGAAAAATTATCTTTTTTCTTATCCCTTTTTTGAGTACGTAGTATAAAAAAATGGCAATCGATTGAACACTTTACATGTGGGACTTTTTCAACAAAATTGAGCCTAAAATTTTGAACTTTTGGATATAAAATGAAATAAAAAAGCATCTCATTCTTATTTTGTTGTTATGAAATATGTGATTCTGAATGCAAAACTCGTCCTCGCGATGAATTATTATCTCATATCTGATGGCGCCTGCATTGTTGAGATCTGCATAAAATTTTCGGCGCGGACCTGCTTTTTCGAAGAATATCAAAAGACAGCCACATGTTTTTCTTTTACAACACACATCTGAAATGTGACCTGAATCGAAATCGCAGGGAAACCAGGAAAAGCTAATTCAGCGCTCCATAATTTATTTCTCCACGGTATTTATCTATTTATATAAACGCGATACATTTATATATAGCCGGGTGTATTTGCATACAATACCGAAAGCAGGAATCAGAGAGGAGAATTAAACACACCGCAATAATCAACAATGAGACGAGTAAGCATTAATTTGCTCTCACAACATCATTACACCTTTCCAAGCACAGGCCAATCACGCATGCAAATAAATAGTAATTGAATCACGCGCTCTTCTATAATTTGCTCAATTTTCTTCGGAGGTTATGCACTTGGGTCAGTTTATGCGGATAATGTGCATAATCAGCAAATACAATATGGAAATTTTCCATGTTGGAAAAATTAAAAAATATCTTTCCATGACATGTGTGTTAATTGAAAATTTGCACCTCGCGATTGCTACTTAATTTATATGCAAAATTAAATAACAAAAAAGGTGTTGAGATGCGAGATATTTGTTTGCTTTACCGAAGAAGTGTCGACTTGGAAATTAACCTCAACCATTCGATTTTATGGCACTTGGAAAGACACACAATTTAACTATATTTTATCGGTGATTAATGCAGGAGGGTGTCAAAGGTGCGCGTTAAGTGGATTGTAATTTACGGTTAGTTTTTCCTTTTCTCGTTTTTAATTCCCTGATAGCAGTATGGTAATTTAATTTTATATTTATTCGTATGCAAATGCATGAATAAAAAAAAATGAGCTCTGAGCGCAGCGAGTGTTTGTTAATAAACATTAAAATAAATTGACTATTGCAAGGTGAATGAAGTGTTGACTTTGTAATTAAATTATATATGGTGAGTAAAAAGCTATTTCTCATAATTTAGAAAAATATTTAAAAAAGAGGGGAAAATAAAATGAAAGAAGTTAAAATTGAAAGTACGGCTTACTGCGGCGGATGAGGTTCTTCATGATAAATGAAGAAATTTTTGTACAATAAACAAATTATCAACAAAATTACCATTTTTTAATATTATATTATTTTAAATTTAATATTCTCACTAAATTTTGAATTTTTGTCGCCCTTAAGAAATGATATGATGACTAATTAAATAATTGCAATGCAAATATTTGTGTTAAATTTTTCACGTACTGTATTTTTAACTAACTTTTTTCGCCTCAATAATTTTTTTACATTTCATTATGAAATTATTAACTATTTAAATTAATTATGCATGACATGTAGTAATTGATTTAAAAAATATGGGAATTCCTTCTTCTGCAGCTGGAAATGAATCAGCTTCAAAGAATTGGGGTCACTTTCCTACGAAAGGTGGAATGGCTATCCCTCTGCTTAATTTGTACTTAAGTGACTCATGCACATGATATATAATCACGATTAAAAGCCATAATTTGCTTTTTCTCCACGCGGCACAGACAAAGTGGAGTCCGAGAGAAGAATCCTCTCTTGAGGGCAATGCAAATAAATCGAACCAAATTTGACTTTGCTCCTGAGCAAATATTCGATGTCGGCGCATAAATAGCCGTGACTTCAGCTCAACGGCCTCATATCTTCCTGTTGGCACAACAAAAGTCGGCAAATAAAAAATGCACAAAAATTAGTACTCAATATTTTTATTAATTCATAAAAAAACTTATTTCTATTTCGTAAATAAACTGATAATTGAAAATTTTAAAAAGGAAAAATTTTCAAAAAAATTTAATTTTATACACAATGAAACACTCAGCAAGAATAGATTTTTAAAATTAGTATAATCTTTATTTATTTATTTTTGAAAAAAAAATATTTTCTTCATTTAATTTTGTTTATTATAAAATTGTTAAATAATGTTATTGCGAATTTTTTGCCCGAGCCAACAGGTGTGTTGCAATTAATCTGAGCTTTGGGTGAATCACGCGAGCGTCTCTCTCTTTCTAGCGCTTCATTTTCATGTTGGCGAAAAAGTTGAATGGCAGCCAATTAGCCGCCGCGAGTGCCAAATCTTCATTTCCTGTCGTCCACTCGGTGCCCGGCCGAGCAGGCAGGTCCTCCTCCGTCTGAAGGAAAAGAGAGAAAAAAATCTTGCGTCTCTCGAGAGAAGCCAACGCAAGGAATAAAAGTGTTTGCCATGCATGGCGCGTGTGTTGCTGGGCGAACTCGCAGTTCAAGGCGAGCCTGTTCTTTACTCAATCAATCCTCTCCGCCTTTTATTTTTAATAATATCATTTTGAGAGTGCGATTTTGAGAGACACGCCAATCATCAAGTCGTTTCCGTTTCATCAATCAACTTGAAAAAATGAAATTAACTTGAATAAAAAAAATTGATCAAGAACTTCAATTGCTCTCGACAAAAATAAAAGGTAAAAATTATTGAAAAACAATTTTGTTTTTAATATGAATTTGAAATTATTTTAAATTTCATTTGACATAATTCAACAAATAACTGGTTTTGTTTGTTTAAAAAAAAAATCTGTAAAACATAATTGAATCATTCAACATTTAATGGTAAAAAGAGTAAAACATTTTTTTTTATTTCATGTTTTGTTTATTTTCAATGAAAGTATAAAGATTTTGTATAAAAATCATGATTATTATCATTTTGTGTGTTATAAGTGATAAAATGATACAAATTCAACACTTACATCAGGAAATAAGGATTTGATACACTGCAAGGGGCTTATCCCATTTTTAATTATTTATAAATAAGTATATTTATGGCAATGAACAAAATTATTAAGTACTTGGCGCAGGTTTTTGTTCTTACAATTTCTAACTTACTCATTAAGTAGAACAACAACACAATTTTCAATCTAGAAGAATGCACAAAATCGAACCTTATAATCAAGATAGACGTCGTTTTGGCAACAAATAAATTATATAGTTGATGAAAAAATTCAAACAAATTTTATCACCACATTTGGAAGATTGTTCGTTCACAATATTGAGATGAGACCAAAAAATTGTACAATATATTTTTTCGTCTTTAAGACAAAAATGCGCAGCTGGATTGTATCTATATTTTTTCTCTATATGTTTGCAGTTGTTTGGTTTTTGTTAAAAATATGTAAAAAGTAATGGCAACAAAGAATTCTTGTAGGTTAAATAATATTATTATTGCTTCAATAGTAAAATTGGCACACCTATGGGGAGTTTTCTAATAAAAAAGGCACAACCTGTTGGCACTTCATTGTTTTGCAGAGCGTTCTGTTTTGATAAATTATGTAGAAAAAAACGTACAAAAAATATATATTTATAAGTTAATTTGACATTTGGTAACAATGCATAAATTAAATCTCCTCACGTGGAATTTACACTTTGAATGTAAATTCTGGAGGATAATTATAGTTTAGTGCTTTTTGATATGTTTCTTTTTGCCACTTTCTCTCAACTGATTTTCATTTTTTTAAAGGACCACATCAGTATTTTTAATCTCTATCTGAAAGTGAAATAATTTCCATGATCGGAGGAATAAAAAATTCGCACCCCTTTAAAGAAAAATATTAATAGTGTCTCTGATTCACATGCTTTTGCAGGGAAAAGACAAATTATCCAGTTTTAATCTTTAAGGGTGTTAATTTTAAATAGCCACTTTATTGTTTTCCATAAAAAAATTTCCACTATCACATAAAGGAATAAAAAATTAAAACCCGAGTGGTTCTTCAATTTTGAGTACAATTTTGAGATTCTTGAATATTCCAAAGAATATAGAAAAGTAGAAAATCAGAGGAAGTGGCAGTTTTCATTTTCCAAAACTGAAAAAATGGCACTAGTGTTTCTTAGAGCTGAAAGGGTAAATGCATCGATTTGCGGGCACTGCGCTGGTGAGCAAGATTTTTACAACTTAAGATTACAATAATTTGGGCGTTCATAATTATTAGATAACTTTCAACGAAGTTTCACTGCTGTGTTTTGGGCGCCTTGGGCTGGTGTCGCTTCATGTGCAGCGCCAAGTGGTCCGACCTGGCGAACGACCGTTCGCACACGACGCACTTGAAGGGTTTGTCGCCCGTGTGCTTGCGGTAGTGCCGCGTCAGCTCATCCGAACGCGCGAACCGCCACTCGCACTCTGCCCAGTGGCACCGGTACGGCTTCTCGCCTGCAACAAAAATCACAGAAATTGATTAATTTGAGGAAAAAAAAATTCAGTTAAAATAAAACAAGGAGTTTATCGGCCGTTGCTTTTTGAAGAATCGGATTAATTTACAAAGATTAATAAAGAAAATAAATAAATCCAAAATCGCAAGAAATAATTAAAAAATAAATGTAATATAAGGAATGAAACAGAAAAATGAGTTGAAATATAAGTTTCTGCAAGTAAAAACTGTTCATTAAAGAGTTATTTTAGTTTTATTTTGATCATTTAGACTGCATTGAGTCTATAGTTTTGAAAATATTTATTAAAGCGTACAAAATAATGAAATATAGGAATGGAAGTCTGGAAATTTTGTATACAGCTCTACAATTTTATTAAAAATATGTTTGAACATCTTAAAAAAATTGCTTTGAAGTTAGTAAATTCAATCTAAAGAAGTTAAAATTTAAAAATGGGGATTTCCATGCAAAATTGAAACAATCCGTTTTAAGTCTCTCATATTTTGCTTTAATTCACCAAAATCCATTGTCAAAATAATGAACTTGAAAAGTGAATCAACAGAGCCTTTTTCTTCATTATAAATGCTATCCTAATTCATCTTAATATAATTCCACCTATCGTGTTTTCATTAAAGAATTTTCCTTTCATTTTTTTCCTAATCGTTAAATCACCGCAGACGGTTTTCTTAAGGACGCTGCGCAGTGTTTTGGTGCGATTGTCCTTTGTGTTATGTTCTCTTGTCGCTCGCATGACAACAAAGGGCTAATTAAAAGGCACGAGCGACGAGTGTGAATTCCAGCACGGCCGAGGTGTCGTCCGGCGAGAGCAGAAAACAACGGACGACATCTCGCTAATTATTAAAATGCGCACACACGCATGCATTTTTCGAGTTGGGATTCGGCGGCGGTTTCGCAATGTCATTGTCAAGGTGGCGGCCTCTCGGGCATTCGTAATGCGCGCCGATTAATTAGAATGCACGCCGACCCGAGACGCATGCGATAAATGTATTAATATTACGCTCAAAACATGCTCGCGGATCTTCTTAGTATGCGCCGCCGGTAAAAGGCATAAATGAACCTCTCTCGACAGGACAATAACCCCCCAAGGGCCAACGATCACCTTTATTTTTATTTTTTCTACACTTTCAAAATTCAATTTAATTTAAGAGAAAACTAGAAGGGTCAATTTTTATAATAAAGAATTTTATTTCAGCGATATTCTTATAATTTTGAGATTTTTCATTATGTTCAGGATTTATTTATTTTACTTTTCTATGACATATGTTAGATTGGTCTTAAAATATTCAATGCAAATAGTTCTGATTTGAAAAATTCAACTCCTGAGAATGAAAAATATTTATTTGGTCGAAGCAAATATTTAATATAAAATATAATACAAAGATAATAAAGTGAATAATTTAAAAAAAAAATATTTAATTTTGTTGCTTTATCATTTTAAAGATGCAGGTCTTTCCATAAATCTTGTCTGTCAACGAAAATAGTTAAAAATCTCCTGCAAACCCAATCAAGAGGTTATTTTTAGCCCGCGGTGCTGATGACGCGCCAAAATTAGTGTCCAATTAACCTGAAGCTCTCGCGCTCTCTCTAAAATTTTCCTTCAAAATAATGAATTTCATCTTTCTTTCCAACCCGACATGAATATTAACGAGACCAAATTAAAGAACAGTTTCTTCTTCCCGGCATAAAAATTACAAGTAAAAAAGTATAATTTTTGTATGAACGAGAGACGGATCATGACATGCGCGTTTTCGAGACCTGTAATTTGACCGCGCTGCGTTTTCTTGGCTGCATCTCTCAAGAGATGAACCAAAACCGACCGACCGACCGCTTCCTTTGTTGTTATGATACATATTTGGGGCAATTTTCAGCACGCAAGCCACTAACATACACCTGGAATAATCACTTTGTACTCGGCGAGAATTATTATAAACTTTTGGACCACTTTCGACGAAAATTTCTAGTTTTTTGTCACTTGAAAACTGACAAATAATAATTCATAACATATTCAACAGTGAAGAATGAAGAAGAAAAACACACGCAAACTAAAAAAAATTTGGAGAAGAAGTACGTGTTTAAATAAATTAGTCATTACTAGACATTAAAAAAAAATAAGAATTATTAAAATTCTTTTAAAAGTATAATTTTTACCAGAACTTTTTTCTGATCTAAACCAATATCAAACTAAATCTAACCAATTAGAGGATTTATATTTTTTATTCACTTAAATCTAGATATTTTTACTGTTATGGTTTATTATACAAACCTTGTAGCAAAAATCAAACGTTTCTCATGAATGGCTTTGCGAAACGCAATAAACGTCAGCTTCTGAATTTCAGAATGCAATAAATACACGGAGAATTGGAGTAAAGTAGCCAAATGTTTTTCACGGTTGTAATATAAATGCCAGAAATTCTGTTCGGTAATATAAAAAACTGATTTTATGCTTTTTAAACGGCTTGCCTGGCAAAACCACTCAAATTAGCCCAAATTAATCCGGTGGAAGAATGCAGAATAATTATCTATCGCCAAAAAATCCGCAGGAAACATAATTGCCTTCCTAAATACCGGTCATTTGGATAGAAAAATATCCCCTCTATATTTCTTCTATTTTTCGGTGCGGTTTCAAAAAATACATATAATGGGAGAGGATTAGTGGAGGAGAAGGCAAAGCCGCTGCTGCCCGAGTGTGTTGTGTGTGGAATTAAATTTTTAAATAGAGAGGAGAAGGAGTTAGTGAGATGAAGGAATGTGGTTTACCTCGAGGCGTTAAAGTCAAAGAGTGAGAGAGAGAGGAGCCGGTCCACGGAGGAACAGCAGATTCATAGCAACCAACTCTCATTCATAAGATCGAGCGGCGTTGTAAAATCTACCTCTCCCAGCGGCAGACTGGCCGCGTTCGGTCCATGCATACATCTGCTGGACCCCAGCAGGAACAATGAATTCCCCATGGCTTTGTGCTTTTCATTAAATACACATTCAGTTTAACTGAGCAGATGCATAAAAAAATGACGTGATAATTCTTTTAATAGAAATATGCAAAATTAATTCATTATCTCAGAAAAAGAGAAAATTTCAAATAACAATCAAAAAAGATATATTTTTAATTGAAAATCCTTAAAATTTATCTCAGCAAATTAAGTTAGCAAAGTGAAAAACATTTATCAAAAAATGTATCAAAAAGTTTTGAAAATGAGGAGGAGATCAATATTTTGAACATTGAGTTTTTTTTAAATAAAGGAATTAAAAACAATAATCTCTTATGAAGCATGAAATTCTTAAATGGATAATATTTACAAGTGAGCAACATTTTATTTTGCAACAATGATTTTGGACATTTGTTTAATAAGCCATAAAATTCACTTCTTCTCGTGCAAAGGAAATCCAGATAGGAAGAATCTGACTCGCGTGCGGCACATTTTATGCACGCAGCGCACCTGTGCGATAAACATGTGCGCGCAATTAGCATTTTACGGCACCTTTTTAAAAAACAAAATTAGCTTTTCTTGCCATTTTATTTTATTGATATTTGCCCCCGAGCAAAACGGGCTAGCTCCTTCCTACATTACAATAATTATATATTCCGAAACTACACTTCAGGCTTAGATTTTTTTGTTAAAAGCCGCAGAGATTTTGTATAATTATTTTCAATTTTAAGAGACTCTCAGGATTAACTCATTAAACCAGTGCGTAAAATGAGCCGAAAAAGCGCTGCAAGGGCGACAAATGTGTATTATTTTTTTACAGCATGTCTTAAAGCACGAGAGATGTGACGCGCTTGAACAGGCAGCGGAAAATGGAGATTTGAACGCCTGTTAGCCGCTCTCTGTGTGAATGATTGGACCCGTGGATAAAAAGCAGCTGGCCGTTTTATATAATATGCCATATCAAAGGAAGAAAAAAATAAGGAGTTGAGGTAATTACCTGTGTGGATTCGCTGGTGAGCCTTCAGGTGAGAGCTTTTGGTGTAGACCTTGGTGCAGCCTGCGAAACAAAAAGATGAGGGAGAAAAAATTAAACATTTGGTCTTCAAATAAAAAATTACAAACAAGACGCTTCATTATCGTTGTATTACTAATTTTAATGGAAACTTTGTTTAACTGGAAAACGGTATTTCTTAGTTTCAATGGAATAACAAAATAATTAAGAGATTTTTAATGGGTGTGGTTAGTATTAAATCACAGTTAGCTTCACTAGCATTTTTATTTTAAAAAACGGCTTAAAAAAATCCACAAGTTGAAGGAAGCCATTCAATGGTTCACCACGCTTTAAAAAGAAAGTTTTCTAATAACTAATAAATTGAAAAAAAAAAATGGGAAGTATTTAAATTGATAAATTTTATATTCTTAAGCCGAGATATAATTTTTAAATAAACCCGATTAAAATAATCTCACCTGGGAAATCACAATGATGAATTCGTCGTTTTTCCAACTCAGGGTTGTTCCTGCGATTGTACTTGACCTGCGCCGACAAAGCGTTGGTTTGCTGTTGGAGGGACGCCTGTTGTTGTTGTTGTTGTTGCTGTTGGTGGTGGTGAACCGTCGAGGGGTTGTTGTTGTTGTTGCTGTTGGTGTTTTGCGTCGGCGCGTTTTCGAGCTGCGCCAGTTGGGGGACAACGGCGAGTTGTTGCTGCGGTGACAGTGGCGACCCCTGGCCCGGCTCGGTCAGCATCAGACTAGTGGTGGGGTGGTAGGGGGGCGGCGGGGTGCGCCGGGAGGGTGTTGCCATCAGGATGAGGTTGTTGCCAGTGCCGCCGGGCGACGATCCCGGCTCGCTGGCCGGCGGGGTCGGCGGAACCTGGTAGTTGAGGGAGCGGCTGGCGGCCATCTTGTAGCCGAGGTTGTTGACCCTGGAGGGGAAGGACGACGAGTAGTGGGGGTAATTGTTGTTGGGCATGGGTGGGGGCAGCAACTGCTTCTCCTGCTTGACCTGCATCGGCAGCAGGTCACTTGTGGTCACCTCGAGCTTGACCGTCGTTCCTTCCAAGGTCATCTGCGGCTGGTGGGGGGGAAGGAGGTCGGCAGGTTCCTCCCACTTGGGCAGGCTGGTGATTTCGTCCCACAGGGGCTTGAGGAAGACGTCGTCCTCGACGACGCTGCTGTTGGGGCCGCGCATGCCAAACCGACCGGTAGACTCGACAAAGAACTCGTCGATCTGCGACGCACTCTCTCGTCTCGGCTTCAACAGGTCGTCGTCCGAGCCCAGCATGTAGCTGTCCGGGTCGGGTTTCGGCCGCTTCCGGGGCGGCTCGAAGTGGTCCGTGGAGCTGTTGTTGTTCAGCTGGTGGACGCCGGTGGGGGTTCCGGTCTGCTGGCGGTACAGCATTGAGTCCACCTCGGAGTTCTGAATGAAGAACAAACAAAATTTCAAAAATTAGATTTTTTAGATTAAAATCAACTATTAAATTTTGTCATAGAATTTAAATAAATAATGTGAAATTCTTAAAATATCAAATGGAAAATTTAATGATCTATCCTCTCAAAATAAAGTAGCCCTATAAAAATTAAGTTGTTGGTTAATTGAATTAAGGAACCCTTGTTAAGACAGTGGTGAAAATTTCAAATAATTTACAAAAATGGCTCCTATTGTTTTAGACTTGATTTGGCTATGCTAATAATAAGAAATTCTTAATTGCTCACAATTTAAATAATAAGTGAGCTGAAAAATAAGTTTTTATGAATTATTTTACATTATTTTTGTTTCTAAAACTTCTTCACTTTCAGGCTAAAAACCACCCCAACTTGTAATCGGATACTTTTAAAAGAAACATTTTCCTTCCAATTAGAGATAAGCTAATTTTCACCCCCTACTCTACAGATGTACTGCGCACACAAAGCAACCCTTCTGTATAATTAACAGCCTCTAGTCTTCGTCTCCACTTTTTGTACAAACACAAACAGGAAATGGCCAAAATTCATAATGGACCAAAAATACACACATTTACGAAACAGGAGAAATCTTCTAAATTCTTGTATGTGTCCTGATAAAGAAGCGACCGTGTCAACAACTATCGCTGGCCGGGAGGAAAAGCAAGTAAAGAGTGCGTTGATGAACAAACACGCGGCTCGAATTTTATCAGCCATCAATAATTTTTATAGTCGGCGCCGCGTGAGCGTATATAAAAATTTATTTAAAAAGAGCAGCCGATAAGCTCTCTCGGCATTATCGCCTCATGGCACCGCACACACATATATATTAAAGGGTATTAAATATTTGCTCACGAATTTCTCTTATCAACACCACGCGTATAGCAAAAAGTTTTCGAGATAGGTTTAAGCATATAATATGAAGCTGATCGGGGGAATTTCAAGACGCATTATTTTTGTCAAGGAAAAAATAATTTGAGCTAGACTATTTAAATTTTAATTGAGAGTTTTAAAAAGTCCAAGTTTCACTGACTGGAAACTTGGTGGCCCTCTTCAGTGCAAATAAACAACGAAACGTATTTTTAACCCTTTAAAAAATATCATTTTTAATGGATAGCTTGGTTTTTATAACTTAACTAAATTAAAACAAAAAAAAATGTTATGATTGAAATGTTTCCTGCACTTTTCTTTTACCTCTCAAGTATCTTCTCTTAATAAATATGTGATTATCAAATTAGTTTGTGTAAATTTTGAGGTCTAGTTACATTATGATTAACACCATACAGTTTGGCAAAATTCTGAGTTAATTTTACTGTGGAAAATTAAGAAATATGTTTATCAAATTAAGCTATTTTGAGATACATCAAAGTGGAAGTGATTGAAAGAAAATCATCTTCACTTGAGCTCTTTATTAATTTTCTTCATTTAAAATTGCGAATTTTGAAAGTTTTTAACAATTTCTTCTATTCTAAAATATTTAAATTTTATGATAATAGCTTATTTGAGACGAAAATTCTGAACAAGAATATAAAAGAATGTGATTTCCGTTTGACAGCAAGTAAGAAAAGCAGCTCATCGTTATTTTTGGCTGTCAGCTTGAGTTAATCTCCCCGCAGCAGTACATGTCATTTTGCCCAGAAGAACCCACGTTTTCACTGCATTTGCCTGCGAACACGTGCGGATATCGATTGTTGCTGGTGGACCGTGTTCAAAACCATTCTTCGCACCTGCCCGAAGGCGACTTACGTTTATATAGAAAGGGCAGGAAGGGAAATAATGTTCGAGCTTAAAACTCGATGTGTGATAAGATCGTGTTGTTTTTCTGCAGTTCAATATTTGCGCTCGGGACCGCTAGAACTTGCGGTGACGCAAGCGGAAAAGATTGTGTGACAAAAGCGGTGCAATTTCACCTTAAAAGCAACACTCGTCAGGTCATTTCTGTTTTTGCATTGTCTTTTTTCGCGGGACTTATCTTGATTTAGCTGATTAACTTCCATAATTAGCATTCCTCTGTCAGATTGATTTCAACTCAAAATGTGTTAAGTGAATTCTTATCATATCAACGCATTGTTATAAATTCCGTTGATTAAAAAATTTTCAAAGAGTTTGCCAATCAATTAAAGAAAGACTGATAATTTGTTAAATATATGTGAAAAGCAATCTATTCAAAATTTAAGAGGAATATTTTATTTATTAAAGATAACAACAATGCCCATTTAATTATCATTACTTGTCTAAATTCCAATTTTTAATGTGAATCAAATAAGTCAACAATTATTTCGATACAGAGAGTTTTGGAAAAATTGACTCATTACATGAGTATCTCCGAAATTTTTATAACATAATGAATGGGAAACCGCAAAAACGCGACGGTACATTGGTGGAGCAACTTTTATCTGTTTCTCTCGCATTCTGTTGTTTCCACACACTGATGGTGGAAAAAAACCAAACTCGATACTCTCTCGCCGAATTCCACCGCGACCCGTACAAAAAAAAATATTGAAAAAGTGTTTCCTGCTTTTGCTACGCGCTGCTTCGCCCGCGGCTCGGCGAAAGGAAAGAAAACCGAACGGCTTGTGCCGCGCAGTTTATTTTTTAGCGTCCCGACGGGGAAGTGAAAAATGGAATATCTTGTTTTGCGAAAAAAAATCAGCCCCCTTATATTTATTATTATTTATAAAAACATTTATTTTCTCCCAACTCTGACAAAATCGTAATTTATTGTACAAAAACAGCAGTTAATTTCTCTCGCGCCAAGTTTGTGCGAATTTCTATGAATTTCTCTCGAGCCAATTAAATGTCCAGTTGCATCACTCTCGAAATGGAAAACGTGGTCAAACGCATAATTACGCGCGCGTAACAAAATTTAATAATTGCGGCGTACGTGCTGCGGCTCAAGCTCGCTTTTCACTGCCCCTCGAGCCCAAATGCAAAAATCTGGCAGCGTGGAGCGCGAAACCAGTTTTGAGGCTGCGAGATCTCTCGGCGGCCGCCGTGGAAGGAGGAGAGAAGATCTGAATGGAAAACCACTTTTGGGCTGTGCAGAGCGCGAGAGCGGCGTGATGCTGCTCTTTCCAGCCAACGAACCGCACCTTTTGATTCAAAGGCTGCAGCTCTCCTCTCTGAATGAATGAATGGAAATACATAAATTATTATTAGCTGGTGTGTAGCGAAAAAAAAATCGGACGAAGAGCCGCGCTGGCAAAAGTGTATAATCACCATTATCGTCCTGTTTGCCGGTGATTTAACTTTTTGCCACGCCAGGAATTCATTTCGCCAAAGGGTGGCTGTAAAATTTTAGGACGAAAATTTGCGCTGGATCAGATGCTAAGAAGGTTACAAATTCAAAATCAAAATGAATTAAAACTTAAAATTTGCAGATATAGGTTTAGAACATTTAATAATTAAGCTAATTAACGCACCAAAATATCCAGGATGCAACCTGACAATTAAATAAAAATATCCGTAATTATTTTGTTTTTAATAAGAATTTGTAAGAATGTTACACTAAAGATATTTTTGAGACCTTAAAACGATTAACCTGATTTTTTTAGATTTTTTTTATAGTAGGGACTAAAACTTTTTGATTGAACGGAGACCTTTTGGTTTGGAAAATTAATACAAATTTTTTAAGTCTCCGTTTGCTTAAATTTGGAAATATGAAGTTAAAAGGTGCACGTGGGAAATTAGGGCCGTTGTAGCAGTGAAAAATTAAGGCATTTTTGTACTTTTTGCCCTCTGAATGATGAGCTGTTTTTACTCAACAATAATCAGTTTATACCTATAGCGTTTTTAGATATTTATTGTTATGTTCTATATTATGTTTAATTTTTATTTTTCTATGCATAAAAATAGCAAATATTTATTCCTTTGTGATTTTAAAAATATTTTATAGAAATAAATTTACAACATAACTTAATTATTTTGTATTTTTATCGCTTTTTATAAAAGTAAATTAGCAGTTTTTTCTATTCTAAAAATGGACTGATTTTGAGATCTCAACAGGTGTATAATTCTTGAGAGCTATATTACGTTGCGATTCCTCTCAAAAGAGCGGATTATTACCTTAATCGCCTTCAGCTGACTTGGCGGTCGTTGCTTTCAAATTACACAAATATTTTAAAGAGAGATAATCGCAATTACGAGCCATTTGGCCAAAAAAAATCTTACACTTCCTTAGCAGCTAAATTTTTCGACCTGAATTTTCCTTCGAAACAGAAAAAAAAATATTACATTTTGCTCTCTTGCGACGAAGGTTAAAAAAGACGTTTCCGTTCATCGTTTTCTCTGGCATTCCTCCATAAAAAGGCTGTCGCCTGGTCGGATGCTAATTTATAGATCACACATTGCGAAACAAACACGCATCAGAGAGAGAACTCAAACAGAGACCGAGAAAGAGATATTCCAAATATAAAATAATGAAACTGCTCTCGACCGAGGAAATAAAACAACCTGTTATTTGTGTTGGAGTTAAAGAAAGCTTTTAACGACAAACCTTATAGCTCGTAAAATATCCCTGTGTTCAGATCCATTACTCTCGATTTGCCTGATTTTTCATTTGTTTGCGAGACGAGTTAGAGTGACTCGCTTGCACACTCGGCAAATAGCGGTAAAGCGAATACAGAAGGCATAAATCTTCGGTCTAATTGAGCTCGGCCATTTTTCTTGTGTCTCCCTGCTTTTTATTTCCCTGCTAATGCCATACGCAGGTTCACAACGGACGTAATTGCGTTTCATACCTCATTTTCGTGCCATCTGCGAAAGAGTTATTGCCGCGCGAAATATTTCTTCTGCTGGCATTTGCGTTCTCCTTTTTGAAATTGCGAGGAGAGAAAAAATATGTGATATATAAATAAAAAACGGTCATTTATGTCAAATACTGCGGGCATACGAAAAAGGTGGAGGATTTTTCAAACTCTTTTACAGTCTGAAAAAGTCTATCTATTAACAAACCAATTTCTAAAATTGTCTCATAAA